TGAGAATGTACTGGGGGTACATGCCATTCAAAGGCCTTTGGGACATTTTTTTTTCTTTAGCTTTGCTTTGTGATGTTACATTCTTGCATAGAAAAGACTTTCTAAAAACAAGTGAACAAAACAAGTGCCAGGACCCACTCCTTTAGTGTTGAACTTGCACAGATGAAGTACATCAGCTGAGTTCACACAATAGCATCAGTTTGGTTATGCTATTTTGCCACATGTTTTCAATGATTCAATTCCTAAATGACACACTCTGTGATAGAACCAAATTTCACCCAATTTGGTAAGATCATGTCAGGGCAGAGGACTCTCTGTTAATATATTCTGTTGTGTTTTTGAAACCATAGACAATTCAGCTCTCATCCTACAGCCTGTTTTATATTGAAAATTCCATCTAGATGAAGCATTTATCTGAATGAAGAGCATGTTTGCAGGACTGGGTGTGATTCACCAGATTGCAAATGTATATATTTGTTCTTCATATTGTCACCTCTAATGTAATTAGTTATAGTTATTGTTGGAATGTTTGATTAGTACTGTCTTGTGGTATTATACTCTGCAATGCTCTAGCTGCGTTACTGAAGTTAATATTCATCTTTTTTTAAATGCCAACAAAAAAGAGCAGAAAGGTTTTTTTACATTAAGTCCATAAATACATTCCCTTTCTGTCTCTTGTGAATGAATAACACACTGATACATCTTCACTACCTCCCTTCTTGTCAGCAGTAATATTAAACACACTCAGGGAGCAGACATTTGTCTATAAACACTGGTGTGTGGTAATTATTTATCTAGGTGATGCTATCTGTCTCTGTTGAAAGTATACACTTCACCTATGCAAATTATCTGGAGTTTTCCTGGGTTTTTTTTGTTGTTGTTGTTGTTTTAATTTCTCATATATTACATCTGGTTGGAAAACTTCTGGTTTTCTCCTGCGGAAATATGCCATTATTAAATAATTTCCAGTTCCTTAATAAAAAGTCATACTTTCCCTGGAAAATTTCAGCAAAAGATCTGATGAACCTTTCCGTTAACACAGGCTGGGAGAATTAAAGTTATTGGTGTTATAGATGGGATATAGGAACCTTTATAGGTTTTTAGAACAGTATTGAAGATTTTCTCTCCTCTCTTGGCTCCTTCTGTTTTCCCCAAGTGATTTGTCTGTCCCCAGATATGTCTTTTTTTTTTAGACAGTTTTAAAAAAAGACTTGCTTTTAAAAGCAAAGGATTACTGCATCTTTTATTACATAGAACATTGAGTAATATTTTTGCTATGAGGTTTTTTTGTATGTAAATGTATCTCATTTAAGATCAACAGAAAATAATTAGTTTTGCTTTGTTTTCTGTATGACGTATGATCTGCTTTGGGAAGTGTTTCCTCTGCACACACAGTGTGAAGCAGAGGTGTGAAACCATAATGATTTTCTGCATACTATAGATGCTGATGAGATATGATACCTTTTGCTGAAGTTACATGAGATGTTAAATGTTTCAAGCTCAGTTACCGAAGTCTGTTTACAATGGAGGTGTCCTGAGTTCTCAGGCAGGGTGGTGCAGGTCCTGTGCACACAAGTGCATGAGAGACTCCTTCCTCACTGGCAGCAGATGGGAGGAGTGCTCCTAGCACTATCCCAGCCTACTGACTCCCGATGAAAATGTTTGGGGTGTGTCAGTTTGCAAGGAGCAAAAGGTCTTATAAGGCAATATGCAGGCTCTCATGTTACTGGTGAGTGCATGGCAGCAGGTGGCTCTGGCCAGGAAGGGAAAACCCCTGGTGCATCACTTTCCCTTTAATTTCTTCCCCAGCCGCTCCAGTTTGAAAGGAACTGCAAAGAGTGAGAATGAGGAGCTTGAGAAGCTGAAGGAGAAGCAGCAGGAGGCAGCAGCAGAGCTGGATGAACTGAAGAAAAGGCGGGAGGAGCGCCGGAAAATCCTGGAGGAAGAGGAGCAGAAGAAGAAGCAGGAAGAAGCAGAGAGAAAAGCCAGAGAGGAGGTAAGTATAAAATATGTAGTACTGGACTTTTAAAAAATTATTCTCTTGTTGTTACTACTTTACTTACACTGGCCTCGTAGGAGATAAAAACTCTTTACAGCAGTGTCTGTACAGACACTTCTAGGCAAAAAAGCTGGTGGGACTGGAGGTTGATTTCTGTATTTAACAAAAGGGCAGAATGAGGCCACTGGATACTGGCTTATAGGTGGGGAAGGAGCATGGAACAGGCAAGGCAAGACTAAACCCAAACATATAGGCCAAAATATGATGTTTCTTCTTGGATCTGATGATTCTGTGTGGAATTGCTGTTGTGATGTTTCTTCCAACTGAACCCTTTATATGGACCCTCTGGGTTGTGTGCTCTTCTGGGAACCACTGTTTCATAGTGTCTGCCAGGAGGTGGTCTGTCAACAGACCCTGATTTCAAGTAAGCTGCTCAGCATTGAAATCACTCAGTTTTCTAACCTTCAGATTTAACTGCAGATATGCTATATTTGATATCAAGTGACCACATCATATAGATGCTCGAGTGAGGAGACAAGGTAAAACATGCAGTCATCCAGGGTAGAAGGAAACATTACAGTTCTAGCTTCAGGAAAGACAGGACTCTAATAAGTCTTCATGAGTCAGGATGTCATCTGCGATAGTTGCAAATTTCTTATCTTTGTGGGGATGCAAAATGTTTGGGGCAGTGTTATAGCCACAGTTCTTAATTTATTTGAACTGTCTTTTTGGCATTACAGAAATTGAATTACAAAGTGCAGGTCAGAATTCATCTACTGCATATGAGCTGGAGTGCAAATGTTATATATACTTACAATGGGCTAGATCTCATTATGAAGATATTCTTGTCTGTTCCTGAGTACCCAGGAACATCTGTTTGCTTGTACTTCCTCTGCAAAGGGACCCTATGAAGAGGATTTCCAAATCTCTGGTGCATAATTTAGGAATCTTGGTTGTTTGGAAAACAAATGGTAGATAATAATAGTGTTTGGCAGCAGAATGCCAATTGCTTCATAATACTAAGCTCTTCGCAGTAGAACTCAATCAGTGCTGAGATTGCGCAATACTTTGCTGGTCAGACCCTGCTGACCAGTGCTCACAAGGGTTGTGCTTTGAGGGCTTCTGGCTTGGCTTGTAGTTTATGAAGAAAAAATTCATGTTGTCTCTTTGGAAGGAAAATAGTAAGCTTTTAGTCTTCACTTTTTTTCAGCACCTATTGATTTTTACTTGTGAACTATTAACATTGGCACAAGTGCCAGAGTAGGTGGATAGGGGAACACTACAAAGGTAATACATGAGGATACAGAAAAACTGAATTAGTGTGTTTTTAAAAATGTTTTTTTTTTCTCTCTCTAAGTGGCACTATATGGCAATAAATCTGGTGACCTCAGTGAGAGTAGACGATAAAGCAGCATGGTCTAGATGACTTCCCTTCTTCATTAGCACTGTGATGGATTAGCAACAATGCTTTGCTGGATTTCAGGTGGATCACTGAACTTTTATTGACTGACGTAAAAATCTGTTCTTAGAAAGTTTGGTGAATGTTGGCAGAACTGCAAAGCGTTGTAATGTTCATGTAGTTTCTGAAAGAATAAATGACCATTAATATTCTTTTAAGGAGGAAAAGAGGAGGATGAAGGAAGAAATTGAAAGGAGAAGAGCTGAAGCTGCTGAAAAACGTCAAAAAATGCCAGAAGATGGTGTATCTGAAGACAAGAAGCCATTTAAATGCTTCAGTCCTAAAGGTTCATCCCTCAAGGTAACATCCCCATTCACATCTACATAGTACATAAAAAGCAATGGTGGTTTCAATCCAATCCAATAGCCAAACACCAAAGGAGTGTGGAAATACTTGAAATCAAACCTGGAACAATGCTCTGAAATAGACCTTAGCCTGAAACCTTTCGCTGAAAGACTTCATTTATTGACTGAAAATTAGAGATCCTTTCTAAAAATAGACTCTACACTGGGAGTCACCTGTTCTTGTTGAATAAAAATGTTCAAAAAGTATCTTCACCTTCAAGAGAAAATTGTTTCGGAAACTTAGAGTTGTATTACTGTATTGATTCTCAATGTTATTTTTTTTGTGAACTGGAATAGATGAAGATTACAGGTGTTATCTCTCTCCTTCCACATCCATAATTGCTTTCTTCCTTGCCAGTTCACTTTCTCTTGAAGCATATTCAGTATAATCATCATTAATTGAAACCGCCCCATATGGGAGTTCTAGCTTATGTCTAATCCCCCTAAAAATAGTATCCGGAAGTGCTGGGCTGGATTTAATTTTCTTGCATAACATGGAAAAAACCCCAAAACATTCTGTTTCTGCAGGAATTTCTAAGTGGTCTTCTGTGGCCTATATTATATTGGAACTCAGACAAATTAATTAAATAGCTCTTCAGCATGGAAGGGGAATCCTGCCCCACTGAAATTATTGGGAACTTTGTTTTGATAATTCCTCCAGTTGCTTTCTCAGCTCAAGCTCAAGCTACAGATCTATTAATCGTTTTCAGCTGTCGTTTCCTTTTCCCATTTTGTGACATCAGTAATTTAAGGATCCAAAATATTTGTTACAAGATGTCCCTTAATGAGCCTTAGGAGAGAGAAGAACCAGGCGGGAGGTTGTCAGATAAGAGCTCACTGGACCACGAAGTGTATCTCTGTGGGATTAAGAACTGTACTTGTTGACTGACAAACTGCACTTAGTCAAAATTACATTTTCACTCACAGAGAGCTATACTTTCAAGCAGTGTGGAGCTTCAGCCCTGTACTGTTTTCAGTTCAGTTCTGGCAAATACAGGGTGTGACTGAACTTGCCTTTGACTCCTCAGACACATCTGAACCTGAAATACAAGGACAGAATGCATACAGCTCAAAATGAAGATTGGCAAACTTAATTACTTGCTCTTATTAGATAAACTTGGTCTTGCCATGTCAGTTGCAGAAGACCGTGTTAGTAACAGACACTATAAATGTAAAGCTTCTTCCCAGCCCTCCTGGGAGGGCTTAATTTTCTTCTTTCTGTTTATTGAAATGCCTTTATGACATACATTTGGAGCTTTAGTTCAAAAATGATTCAGAAGGGAGGAAATTAGACTTGAAAACACATAATAGGAAGATATAGATCATAATTTTGGGGAGAGGGAAAAAATACTGTATTTGGCAGGAGGTTAATAGCTTTCAGAGAACTTTTGGACTGATGCTACACTATTACACTAAGTGTATTTTTAAAGGAAAGCTGAAATCTTCCGAATGTCATTAAGTATCCAAGGTCCAATTTTTTAATTATGATAATTGCTGCTGGGTTTTATGGCTTGTTAGGTAGAAGTCAATTGTTACAAAAACTGATATATGCAACTCTGTACATGTTTATTCCTTTCTCTGTTTCTGTCTCTGAGAACTTGGTGATACTGTACATATTCCAGCTTTGTGTCTGTGGGTGGCCCAAGTAGATACATAATGCTGTTGAACTTCACACCCTAAACTGTTTCTTGGCCTTGTGTGGTCAATAGCTGAGGAGAGAATAATTTCATTTTAATAACCTGATGTCAAATTTGATATCATACTCCAGTTTTTGCAAGACTGTATTTTGTTGCCTTTCATATGCACAGACTTCTCAGGCTTGTACCTGAGTACCTGATTGGTACTCTACTTTCTTACTGGCTGTTATGCCTCTTTTGAATTATAAAGCACGTGGCGCATATTTTCTCTCTTGATTAAAGCATAATCTAGTCAGATGTATAATGAGTCATGTGATAACCTTAAATGCACAATTGTTGGTGGGCAATTTGAATTAATAATGAAAAAAAGGAAGGTTCTGTATTAAAGTACTCAATGATACATGTGCACATTCTGACTTCTTCTAGATCACAATCTGGCAAAACACCTTTTTTTCCTTCCTCATCCTTCTTGATGGATAAGATTTTGGGAAGAAAAAGTTCCTGGAAGTGACTTAGATGAGGAAAGTAGGAGATGCTGTTTACCGAGTGAATTACAAGAAGAAAGGAAAGAAGGGAGATAAACTGAGTGTGGTATATAACCAGCTTATGGTCACTGCATTTATCCATCAGGCAGGGCATGGTCTAGCATGACATGCAGACTCAGAATTGAGAGACCAAGATGTGCAATTCATATCCATATATTACACGGCTCATGAATGCAGAAATATAAATGTATCTATACAAGCATAGACATAATATACATACATGCTTATATTTAGAAAGAAATACTGTGAATATCTAGTCTGGCCTCTAATTTATAATAGCCTACACGATGTTGACAACTCCAGTTGTTTAAACTGCTAAATACAGTATTTTCCTGAAACCTGAGAGAATACTTCAGAAGAGCTACTACTGCAGCATGGAGTCCTCCAAGAGACAGCACCAGGGCTGGTCCTTTCTGAGGGGACAATGCAAAGGAAGCAGGCAAAGTAAATACAGGCCAAGTTCATCACTAGCTCAGGGACAGAAGCACCGTGGATTTCTCAGGGCTAGTGGAGTCTCTGTAGGCAGTAGCAGCAGTACCAAACCTCTGTCCAGCCTCTGTTCTCTATCTTGGTTTGTTTGTTTGTTTTCAATAAGGACAAAGACTGGAACAACCTCTCCTGCTTTCCCACCTCACTCTAGCTCACGCTTTCCTGAGTTTAGTTCACACAAATGTGCTGCAGTAGATGATTTACTGCATAATCTTTGTCCATTTTGACCTTTTAGACAAGTGAATTCCTCATGTTTTCTTTGGGGAGGAGTGTCATTGACATCTTGTATAACTATTCTCTAGGTTAATCAGGAGAGAACAGGATATTTCAATACGAAGTCTCCTTTTGGGGCTGAGCTCCACCACTACAGAAATGCAAAAGCTGTTAGACATTGAGGGGAGAAAGAAATGGCAGGAGACAGGGAGCCTGGGATATCTTCATGTCTTTGCAGAAAATATCATGGGCTGATGTGACAGCCTGCACTCTCTGCAAGGCAATGCTGACAGCTAAACCAGAAGATAGGACTTTTTGGGGTTTAAGATGAAAATATTTTTTTTTTCCTCTCTTGTCATATCTCATAATTGCTCTGAATACCTAACAGCTGCAGGAGTGAAAAGAATTAGACTCCACAGAATCAGTTCTTTCTAGATGAGCTACTCTTGCAGCAGAGAAAAGATAGTGGTAAGAACAGGTTTTGACACTTGTTTTTGCCCCATCTTCCATGCTGATGGCAGCACTTTAGTGTGGTAGGTAAACTGCAGTAAATTGATGCACTATGCACAGATGCTGCTGACAGCAGGAGAAAGCCTCACTGGGCTTAATGAACCAAAAGTGTGTGAGGCCTCAGAGAGGGTAAGGAGAAGCCACTTTACTCCCATGGATTATGCTGGGATTTCCACTAGGTTGTTCCACTTGTTGGTTATAAGGCAAAAATATAATACAGGAATTTCAGTTTTCTGCATTAATTTCTTACTCGACTTCTTCCTTGACCCATTTCACAACACTTTCTGTCTCATAATATCTAATATATAGTTTAAAATTTCCAAGAATCACTTAATACATTTGTATGAAAGAGTTTTACTGGGAATATCTGGATGCTTTTTTTTTCCCAAGCAATTGGCTCAAATTGTGTGTTAACTTATTCCTCTTCTATTCTGTTTCTGATCTTGGAGGATGTACAGATGGAAGACAGTGCACTTCGATACCTACACTTTAACTGCATTTTTAGCAGGCAACATATTTCTTCCACAATCAGCAAATAAATGTTGATATGACATTGAATTTGGATAAATTAATACATTTATCTCCATAAAACTTCTTGCTTAATTAATTCCTTGTCACTTGTATGTGTTGAGCCCATTGAATCAGGCCCTAAAGCAGATGTGAGACTACATGGTTTTGATTTATTTCCATTGATTCATCTGACTTTACCAGCAGAAGGGTAGGTGTCCATCAAAGTATCTTGCTGCCTAATTTAAGCTTCTTTGGTAGTTAATAGAGAGATCGAGAACCACTCTCAATGAACAAGCAATTCTACATTTCCTTGGGTGAGGTGAGCTCCTCTGCCTCTCCACTAACTATATAAGGAATCACAATAAGTAATTTTGACCAAGTGTGTAACTTTCAAGCAACTAGGTTTAGGTGGGAGAGATGCAGCCTGAGATCCTGGGTTTTTTTCTCTCTGGTTGTGATTTAATTAGAGGCTGGCATGTTGAGGTTTCAGAGTGTGTGTGTTGTGTGTCAGAGGCTTTGGAAAGAATTCCATGGTGACAAAACCTAGTTCAAGCTATTTAACAGGAACCTGTTAAAATTAATGCAGCAAAAACTTTTTTCTTATTCTGTGGTCTCAAATTCAGGAAATATCTTGTATTTTGTGCTAATCACCTTGCTTTGCCTATTTCTCTTCCAGATCTATTTTGTAATACTGTTTACTGTATGTGCCAACATTTTAAATTATTTGCATGGTGTTTGTGGTGTGTGCCGTGGATAAATGACCTTTAAATGTTGCTGTGCTCTCTAAATGTATTTGGCATTTCTGTTGAATACACATTTCCTGGTGTATTTGCTCTAAGTGTATTCAATGTATGGTTCTGTTCCATGCATATTGTGTTTTGAGGAAGATACTCAACAACAAATTCTCATATAAATATGCAGAAAATATGTTACATATCCTCAACAGGCATGTGCTTCCTTAGGAACTGGACCATGTTCAGCTCTCAGGGTTGCTTCCTAACTCTGCTTTCCTGTTTAAATTATTGTTTTGCTTGCTTCCTCACTCTTCACTTCAGAAAAATCCCTGACTTATTCTTGATGCCACGACAGGTACTCTGAGAACTGCTGATTCCAGCAGGTAAAGAATATCCCCATGTCCAACCTAAATCTACTCTTTTCTAGCTCAAAACTATCACCCCTTGTCCTGTCATTACATGCCCTTGTGAACAGGTCTTCCCCAGCCTTCTTACAGGCTCCTTTCAGGTATTGGAAAATCGCTATTAGGTCTTTCTGTAATCTCTTCTTCAGGCTGAACAACCCAACTCCAACTCCCTCAGCCTGCCTTCATAAGAGAGGTGCTCCAGCCCTCTGATCTTTTTGTTGCCCTCTTCTGGACACGCTCCAACAGGTCCATGTCCTCCTGTTGGGGGCTCCAGAGCTGGATGCAGTACTCCAGGTGACGTCTCACCAGGGCAGAGTAAAGAGGCAGAATTACCTCTTGCGATCTGCTGGCCACGCTTTTGATGCAGCCCAGGAATCCATTTGCCTTCTGGTCTGCATTTGCATGTTGGTGGCTCATGTATCATCTTTTGATCCACTGGTACCCCCAGGTTTTTTCCACAGGGCTGCTCTCTAGAACTTCTTCCATCTCATCCTTCTTGTCTGTTGTTACTAGCTCACCACTGTTGTTCATCAGGCAGGGTATGCTTTCCTTAACCTTCTTTTTCTGGAAGCTCTTCTTTTTTTTTCTTTACATACCTTGCCAAGTTCAGCTACTGCACCTTGGCCTTCCTAACCTTGTCCCTGCACAACCAGGCAATGTCCCTATACTCTTCTAATGATACCCATCTCCACTTCCACATCTGCGTTCCCCTCAACCTATACCCCTTTTACACCAGTGTCTATTGCTGCCAGGTTTTCCTGCTGTGTAGAAACATCTCTCCTTCCTAAGCACTGGAAGACTAGAAAGAGTTCTTTTAGCATCTTTTATGTGCCTTTTAAGATTTGTCCCTTTTGTAAGATTTCAAGTGGAATCTCAGTTCATCTGAACTAGAAGATTCTGTAAAGGAATTACTAGATATGTACCTTGAGACCTGGTTCTTCGAGATAGTCCATATTTAGCCTTTGTCCTCGCTGCCAGCTGGGATTTCACTGATACAGGTAGGGAATTATCTGTTCATGCAGAGCATAAAAAAACCCCACTGTCTCTTGTCGGTATGACTCAACATTTTGAAGCATTGCTGGTAATAACCCAGAAATCAACATTGTGGGAAACCTTTCCAACTGTACCATAATTGAGGAGAGGTGACATGTTTTGATTTACCATCGTAGGTATGATTAGTCACTTTCAATCAGACAATCTACTTACTTGCTTCACGGCAATATCAACTTTTTCCTCTGGGTGAAACTAAGTCGTAAACTGTTCAGGCTGGCAGAGAAAGGCGGGGTGTGCGTGGCTCTTCAGCTCCTGCCTGGTGTGTTGCTGCCACCTTGTGACAGCAGTGGGTTGAAATACTTGGTACATAGCCAAGCGAAGCCCATCAGGACTGTGTTTAGATCATATATTGGCAACTAAAACTGCTAATGTAAATTACTCTGTAAATTGTGTACCTATTCTTTTAGAGCTTTAGAGGTGCCTTTGAGCTGGATTGATGCTAGCTGGAGTTCCTCCAGTGAAATTGGCAAATTCTGCACTGAAGTGAACTGCCTGAGTTTTTGCTTGTATGGGCTTGAGAAATAAAACATGAATGCCCTTTGATAGGATAGCAGCTGCCATAGCCGGGATGCTAAGGCCACCGAGGAGAACCATTTAAAGGAATGGCTGTCATTGCCTTAGTTTACAGGCATGAATGCCAGAGCACTCACTGTTCAAGTAACTTGAAAACGAACAGCCTTTACTAAGACCAGGGAATCCCCAGGAACCCAGCCAGGCTGATTAATAGTGATTTCTATCCCCCAGAGCTGCTTGTGTATATTTTACTCTTAAGTGAAACTGTAAAGCCTGGGACAAAAGTGGAACAATGCAATGTGGAAGGGATATAAGGAAGCTGATGAAAGTATTTATTGACACAGGATGCAAATAGACTTCTCCCCTGCCCTGAAATTATTTAAAACTTTATTCAGGGATGGATTGACTTGTTTTCAAATTACAGAGAGATATGGCGTAAGTCTTACAAAACTTTTATGATTCCTTTTACTTGAAAACATTACAGTACTTTCCTACACACAGAGAAGAAAATAATGATGAATTGTAAGATACCAGTTTGTATAATAAAAGCTGGTAGATATTGACTCAATAGTGACCCTTCTGAACATGAGCAGAGTACAGTCTGATTGGTTTTTTGGAGCTCAAATTAAATTGCCATTGTCTTACAAAAGCATGCATGAAATAGAGTGTGTGGCTGAGCTCCCAGCCTTTCATAGTCTGATGTCTCAACTCTGAAAAACTTTATTAAAATTGCTGTCTGTCTCAAGAGATACATACTTGCTCTTATGTGAAAGATATGAGGAAATTCGACATAGATTTTGAGAGTATCAACCCCTTTCATATGATAAAGCTTCTTTCCTTTTCTTCTTTCTGTGTTAGTGACTTACTCTCTGCTTACAAATAAGGCACTGAAGAAATATGGAGGATGCAAATATTACTGCAGAAAATATATCCACCCTTATGAACCTGTAGCATAAGAGACTCTTAACTATAAAACCTGTCTGTGGTGTTTTCTGTTGGAATGCGTGTCTATCAGATTGACTTTTTGACATTTAAAATTACATTTTAGCCTGGCTAAGTACAGGATGCCTTTTTATTACCTTTAAACTTACAGCTCGTTTCTCTCTTTTCTAGATAGAGGAGCGAGCAGAATTTTTGAACAAATCCGCTCAAAAGAGGTAAAACAACAAAACAGTAGGTTTGTTCAAAACAGCAGTGATTAATGGAAGGGAATAATAATTTATATCATGCTTTTTTCTACTTCCTACAGTGGTATGAAACCCACCCACACAACAGCAGTTGTCTCAAAGATTGACAGTAGACTTGAACAATATACTAGTGCAATTGAGGTAAGTTAATTCCAGGTCATGATGGCTCTAGTTACCAATGGCTTTTGGGACTTGAATTAGCCTGTGTTTTACTGTTCAAGATTTTCAGGGGGGTTTCATCACAAACTTTTTAAAATGCACCTTCAAGAACACCTATAACCAACATCTACGTATCTAAACAAACTTTTCATAGCTGGTCAATATTCAGATTTGAATCTTCCTTTCAGTGCTACAATTTACTCTGCTTTTTAATCTTGAAATAACTCTTGAAGAACTCAGTCAGCATCTGTTGAGTGACAGTTGTATCCTTTTCTAGGCTGATGAGAGCACTATTAGCAGAGAGCTGATAGTTACCTTGAGCAAAGCTGACTTAGCAGCTTATTTAGGAGAGTCAGGAACTGGGCCTGTGTTGCTGGCTGCCACTTCAGAGTGAAATTCCTTGGCAAAGAAAGACACCTTCATGAACTAGGGAGTTAAGTAGTGACAAAGGAAAAACAGAATCAAAATAAAATGCAGAATTTTAACCCAGGTGATATTTACAACTAGTGCCTAATAATGTGCCTTGAAGCCAGAAGAACAGGTGGTTTGTTGGGGGGTTTTTTGGGTGGGGTGTTTTTGGGTTTTTTAGCTGTTTTTATAAATCAGTGAGTGCAGGTAATTAGAAAGCTACTGGTTAATATTGCAGGCCAATTGAAGTGGGTTGCTGAGTGTAATGGTATAGTATAAAAAGGGGTATTATCTTGATAGCTGTGATTAAGTTCTAGAACCTCTTTATTCCCTGCTCGGTTTTTTCTTCTCCTCTTGTTCACATGTAGGGTCTAAGCATGATATTCCATTGAGGTATTAATTTGGTATGATTGGTTATCCTTTAACTTACAGTAATCAAAGATCAATTAATAAAGGTGCTTTTTTTTTTTCTGTGACTGCTGCCTGTTTAACATTTCTGTTACGCAGCTTGTCAGTGCTGGAGAGTTTTATACTGAGAGTCAGTTCCGATGCAAAAAGCACATGCATGCCAGTGCTGAAAGCTTGGGCTTGCCTCTAGCACCCATGTCAAGCTGAAGGTAGCTCAAATCCCTCCATTAGAGATGAATATCAGCATAGCTCCCATGCCATCCAAGTAGGAGCAAACAGTTTCTGTCCTCCTGCTTCACTCTGCGTGTTTTCTGGATGAAATATAATCACTGAAGAGTGACCAAGGGCTTTAATTTGGCTGTAACATTTGATGTTAAACTCCTTAAAGAGAGTGGATGGATTGGAGTTACAGCTCCATTGTAAGAAATTTGTGTAATGGTGAAGTCAGGGTTTGTTAGCCCATAAACACTGGACCAGCCCACCTGCCAGTTAATATTTTCAAATGAGCTGTGCTAAGGTCTTGAGCCTTTATGCTCCATTTAGATACTGAAAAGCATAGCTCTAAGGCAAGGGGCAGGCAGTGCAGCTCCACAGCTATACACAGCTCCCATCTGACCTGAAATTATTCCTTTGCCAAATTTGTGTTTTTTCCAAAAATTGCCAAGCTTCTGTTGCAACTAGAGAGGCAAAGCTCATACAGGTTCTCATTCTCCTCAAATCTATGTTATAGAAGACATACAATAATTTTGAAAAGAAGGAACAGGAGGAGTTTGGTCCAGTTTTTTTTAGTAACCATGCAAAAAACCACACTGCCAAAAAAACCCCAATTCTCCACTCTTTAAAAAACCCACCTCATTCCAAATATACTGTAATTGCTGAAATATACCCCCAGAATCCTGTGTTGTGAGGTTGTCTGGATCAGATGGGGCAGAGTCTGCTGAATGACAGAGCAGCCTTTCTTCCTTGCCTCTGCATAAGGATTTCTTCAGCTGTGTCCCTGAAAGAGCCATGCTTACAGGATTCAGGTGCTGAGACTTGAAAGAGGACGAACGAAAGCCTTGGAGCAGTTGTGTGCAGAGCTGTGGTTTGCCATGAACTTTAGATATGCAACAAATGCAAAAATCAAAGTGATTGCAGTTTTCATAGCTGGTCAAGGGTGCAACTGCAAATCAAAAGAAGAATCTCAGTGAAATCTCTTGAGCTGGGTGCTCCTTTCTGTCCTTGCACGATAATCACTAGAACCACTGAGAGCTGCTGTGTTCCCCAACACTGCCCCAGAGTCAAACCACTCAGGAACTCCAGTACTCAATGCCAAACACCAACTGGCCTCAATTCTTCTGCAGGGTACAAAGGCTTTAAGACCAGCTAAGCCTGCTGCCTCTGACCTTCATGTTCCAGCCGAGGGTGTCCGTAACATCAAGAGCATGTGGGAGAAAGGAAATGTTTTTTCATCACCCTCTGGGACAGGAACACCAAATAAGGTACATGTTTAATTTTGCATAGTGATTATACAGAATTATGTGATGGACCTGACCTTGCCATTCATGTTCCTATGATTAAACCTGTTTGGTCCTGTTAGCATCCCTGTTGAAGGGTCTCAAAGGATCCAGAGGTCCTCAGAAACCAACAAAATAGTGTGGCTGCAATATTGAGTATAATGGAAGAATTTAGTGACATACTGAGCTAAGTTATGAGACATTCCAGAGCCACATCAGGGATCTCAGATAAATATATTTGAGTAGTTCATGCAGAGTACAAAGAAATTATTTCTGTTGGGAAAGATTCGTTTAGGGGGAAAAGGAGGAATAAATAGACAAGATAATGATGATGTTTTATATATAATGCATAAAAGCATTTGGGAGACTTTTTTTATTTATATCCTTCAAGGGACATTTCCTTTGTATAATTTTATGTTAGTTGATGAGCATTCATCATAGCCAAAACACTGACACATGGATTGAAGTGAATTATTACAGGTAGCCATTAAATTTTAATTATTTTTTCTAATCTTTGAAAGATTTATTTTAATGAGTTAAATATTAGGCCATTTAACTCCTCTATGACATGGTTTTAAGAAATATTTTAGTTTAACAAAACAAAAACGTAGACTTAGACTATTGTCTCTCCCTCTTTTAGGCTGAATACTTTTTTTCCTTGGAGTCAGGGGTTATGACAGAAACAGCAAGTGTATGTTTAACATTTATTCCTGGGTTAGCACTAAGGTGGAATTGATTTTGTCAGCCCGTATTTATCGTTAAGGAAAAGTAGAGGGTAGTTGTGCTGTGTAGTTTATAGGGACAATATCTTTAAAAGTACACAGGATGACTCCTAGGTAGCCATAGTCTCAGTGAGGATCTCTATATTAAACTCAGGCTTGGCTTTGTTTTTAAATCTAAACTGTGAAAAGCATAGCAAAAGCTATTCTGAAAGTCTTCTGATTATATTTTTTTTTATTCTGCAGGAAACTGCTGGACTGAAGGTTGGTGTTTCCAGTCGTATCAATGAGTGGTTAACCAAGACCCCAGAGAGCAACAAATCACCTGCTCCGAAACCTTCTGTAAGTAAACCTGCAACAACCATCTCTTCAGTAGGTGGGTTCTCTCCTGGGGCAGAGGTGGTGAAGGTGCTTCCTCCACCACCTGATGGCCCACATTGGACAGTTTTAAGTCTCAGCTTAATGGGGTGCAAAGCCATCTCATACAAACTATAGCATTACCTAGAAAGGTTGGAACAGATAATCCTTGAAGTCCCTTCCAACCCGTCATTTTATGATTTAGAGGTACCTTGCTGTATGTCCTCTTCTGGAATCTCACAGAAGTCCTCTGGCTGCTGACTCCGGGGTAGTCAAGAAAGGGGGAATGAAACAGGGGAGTTCTTCCCTTAAAGCTTAGGGGTGCTTTAAAAAGGCAGTGCTCAGAGAAACTCTTCTCTGGAAAAGGAGGACATCAATTTACCACCTTTTAATTTAGAAATTACTAGCCATAGACCTTGGATTTGTGCTTTGGCACTTCCCTGTAAAAATCTTCCAGGTATATTTATAAACTCAACTGAAATACCTTAATCCTTTTAGAGCCTGAATGAAATTTCTAATGATAGCCCTTTAGCATGCCCATTACTTCAGCAAGAATCAGAGCAGAAAATGCTATCAAAGTATCAAACTGGAAGTGTGGGAAGCAGCAATGTGGATGTGGGAAGGAGTAGAAACAAGTAATTGAGGGGTAGGGAGGGATAGGGATGAGGAACTGGACCTGTAGGTGTCTGTATTGGAGAATGGCAGGGCATCAATACTCATGGTGTTAATGATTCAACTTAGGGATTTTATGTAAGATCTGTTCTCTTCCCATGTCCTGGTGTAGCATTTCTCTGCCAGTCCACTTGCCCTGTATAAAAAATGCAGCACGATGAACACTTTCTCAATTCACACTCCTCTTTGTCCCAAAGAGTAGCTTGAAATTTGTAACATTGTCCCTAACGGTAACTACATGGAAATCGTGTCCTTATGAACATGAGTAGAAAAAGAACACTAGTCATTGTGTTCATGGCCTTTAATCATAACCAGTGCAAACCAGCACAGAATCTGCCTCCAGATTTTCCTCTCTTTTCTTTTTAACATATATTATTTATTTATTTTTTTAAATTAGGTTGTATCTTTTAGATAATGTAAAACTAACATCTTCTTTTCCCCTCAGCCCACTGTTTCTACCTATCTCTTCATTTCCCTCTTTCTCAATAGATTGTTCTTTCTTCTTTCAATATCTCTGCTTGAAGGAACCTGCCCTCCTCCTGTTCTTCTTCTTTGGGGGTCTGTTTGCTAAGGTTGTCAGGTAAACCTGTTTATGATTGCCTATGAAGAATGATATACATCTGTAATGTGTAATTTTAATTTTTCTACCAGGATAAATCAAAGAGAAACCTAGAGTTTCATAGTTATTAAATCACTTTAATTACTTTACCTCACCTGTTTTGTTTTGGGTTTTTTCTGTCATGCTAAGGTTTTAAAGGATGCAAAGGAAATGCAAATGGTATGAAGGACTACAGTGTCAAATCCTGAAACCTGAAATTTGAGAATGCAGAAGACGATCTGCTTTTCTGTTGTATTAGAAGCCCTAAGCTATTTTTTTTTACAGGTTTTGGTTGTTTTTTTTAATTAAATACTTCTATTCTGATCCAAAATAACTGAGACAAGCTACTTTTGATTTCTTCCTGATAGAAATACTAATTCTGATTCTTTTTGTTTATTTATTTATTTTTCCTACAAAATTTGGAATTGTCTTTTTTAAAAAGATGATGGTGCAGAAACTTTTCACTGCCCTCCCTAGGATTAGCATAAAACGTTATGGCCAGTCTGTGCAATACTAAATAGATCCAGCAGGATTGGTTTTGGTCATAAAGTGTGTATATGTGTGGAGTGATTATGTGAAGTGTCCTTCTGAATGGCTTTACAACCAATACACAATGTAGTATTCACCACTGTTGGATGCTTCTCAACTTTTCTTACAAGCAAGTCACATTCTAACTTTTTTTCTCTACCAAATAAAATAAACCTGAACTAACATTGGTTTCTGTTCTCTCATGTTAATTTAAAAATACAGGATTTAAGACCAGGAGATGTATCTGGCAAACGTAACCTCTGGGAGAAGCAGTCGGTTGAAAAGCCATCTTCTTCTAAGGTAACACTTCAGTGCCTTGTTAAAAGGGTAAAATCTGTGTGGGAAGCCTTCTAAGGGAAGGTGCCTTGATATGGTCAGCTAGTTGGAATTAGGCCTTCACATGTCTTTTGATACTAACCTGCTTTTTTATCTATAAAAAAGAGCATACAATGAGGCACAGAAAGCCATGGGCAGCATTTGACTTTTATATTGCTATTTGGCAGAGCTCTGTTGTGCATGGGAATCTGTTCATTCCCTGGAGTTGATATTTTTTTCTGTTATAAGTAGCAATATTTTCCTGTATTTAATGTTAATAACAGGTTATTACTTCTTCATACAGGTATCAGCTATTGGGAAAAAATCAGAGACTAATGGTAAGTAATTCTAATAATACATCTGTGTATTAAATAGAAACTTTGCCACTTTTGCCTACAATCACATCTGAGTTTTAAAATTCTATGGCTGTTAATGTTGTGGGAAAAAACCCACCCTTTTTGCCTTTATCTTTCAAATACTCCATTACAATATCATCAAAACGTGAATGTTTAAGAAATAAGTCTAAGTGAGCTTTCTAGGAGGACTGAGAACTTGCAGTGCTCCAGCCATGTTTGCAAAGCCTGGTTTGAGTGACATGTGCAGCGTGTTTGCTGTAGCTGGAGGGAGTCATTGAATGTGTGGAGTCTGAAGAATGTTCTGGTCAGTTAAATAATTACAGCAAATGCAAGGCATCTGGGAAAGGCTCTTTCAAAGGCTGCAGCAGAGCAGGAAGGGATATGTCTTTCCTGAGTGAAGAGGGGAAACACAGAAAGGGAGGCTGTTTCAGCAGCACTATTTGAGCAGAAATGGAAGATTTCCATACTGCTGAGAACAAGCCATGCATCTGATTTTAAACACTGCCACCTGGCAATGGTGAAGCCTGATGAAAATGCAGCAGTGTGGATTTTTAAAAATTCCTCTGGCTGATTGTGAGTCTCATGTGCTCCTGCATCCACAGACTGGAATGGAGCTCAAAAGCACTCAACAGCAGCCCTGCTTTTGGTGGAGCTGTGCATTGGTGACTTGTAAAGGCAAAAGGAGTTCTACTACTGTCATTTTGAAACTGCTAGTTTGGGAAATGCAACCTAGATCTACAGGAAGAAATGGGCAGACTTCTCCTCCTAGCACTTTTAAAATTTTTAATCTAAAACATTGCAAATAAGGTCAATTAAAAGAAGTATGTGCCTAAGGACCAGTGGGGAAGAATGGAAATTCTCTGATCAGTTTAATAGCTTTAAGATGTCTTGCAACATCCCTTGACTCTTCACTAGAAATAAAATTACCAAATATCAAGAAACTTTTGGTTTTCCACACATTAATATGCACATCACGTTTTTCTTCACATACACACGTGAAGCCAGAACGATGGAAATGCCCTGTGAACTTTTCTTACGAGTTTCAAGTAATGCAAAACGCAATAGTCTTCCTCCTCCTCTGACCCTACGTCAAAACGAGAGGGGGTTTTCAGGCTCACTCAGCGTTAAGCGCTGCTCTGCTCCCATGGAAGGCCCCAGGGGTCACACGTTGCCTACAGGAGCAGCCCCCGCGGAGGGGTTGGGGCGCTGCCGAGCCCCTGCTCTGAGGCTGAGGGAGATGAGGGGCTTCCTCAGAGGGGTTGCGGCCCGGGCCTCTCAGGAGTGTGTGCACTGAGCCCTGCAGCACAGCCTGCCTTGCCCTGGCATTGCAGCCACCCAGGCACAGCTGGGGAGAGGGCTGGGTGCAGCAACCCCCAGGTTTCCGGGTGGGAAGCTCCTGAGCTCTCCCTGAGGTGCTTCCTGGGGCTGTCAGAGGCGAGAAGGGTGAAATCCTGGTTGTCCTCTTGGGCACCGCCTCTCAGCAGTCCTGGGGCATGAGCATAGCTGCAGCCAGATTTTGTCCTGCCTTCTTACCTGCTGTGTGTTAATCTAGAGCCATGCCTTCTCTGGTTTAGAGATCTCCTTGGGTTATTTCAAGCCGTCTTTAATCCTCCTCTTTCTCAGCAGGTTTGAGACAATTTGAGAAAGAACCATAGAAGGCCACTAAAGACGCTGGACCAATCAGTTGGGAAAAAAGAAAAAAAAAGGAAAAAAAAAAAAAGGAAAAAGTGCTAAATTGTTCTTTTTATATTTATGTTTATTTACCGAAATGTCTTTTTGCATTATTCCAGTTAAAACCATGTATATTAGCACTGTATTTAATAATCAGTCTAGACATTCATCATAATAGTACTGCCTTTGCACAAGAGCCTTTATTCCTAAAGAAACCCATGCTGTGAAATATATAGACTCTCCTACTGATAGTTATAACTAACTATGTATCTGAACAGTGATTTCACCTGGCATTGAAGAGGTCAACCCAAAATGCATGTAAAGTGAAGTTGCTTAAGAAAGGTGTGCAGTAAACCTATAAAAACAGTGGTTACTTTTGTAATACAGAAGTCTTTCTTTCTGCACTTTAGACTAAGGCATGGAAGAAATATCTTTAGTTGACAATGTAATATTTTCTGTAAGTTGCCCATGTCATGAGAAATACTGCATCAATAACTTGTTTTAATTTTTTGTTTTATACTTTTTTAAAGTATCAAATTTTCCATTCTAGTTTAAGTTAATACCTAAATTTGGATGATTATGTTAGCTGACAGCGGTACTGATATTTCTTTTTGTTGTTAGTAATTAGTAATTGAACGCAATTTAGACTATATACACACATAGCTTTACAAAGTTTAGCCTAAAGGCACTACTAATGTTAGAACGCTTTAATAAATGCTAGAGTATTATATTTAGTAATAAATATACATAATTAGCCAGTATCACAGCTTAAAAAATAAAGACAAAATCACACATTTTTCTATAGTAAGATTTCATAATTGCCATTAGAGGTATGGTGAGATAAGTATTAAAAATTTTTAAATGTCAGTTGCCCAGTAATGGGCAATTAAAAGAAAGTATAGTTTTTAAAAGAGGAAAAAGTAAGGGTATAGAAGGTCAAAAATAGGTCACTTGTATAAAACATTGTAGTTTAATTTATATAAAACTACCATAATTAAAAAGAAAAAAGCCTAAACACAGTTGGAACTTGTTTCAAATGACTGCACACTAAATCTTGCCATCCATCAGTGCCGTACACTAAGTCCACCTAAAATGAAGTAAACCTCTATCTTTATAGTGCTTCTTTTTAACTCTCTCTCCTAAATATCTTATTTACAGATGTTTTCATTTGTATATAGTAAACACACGGCTATAAGACGTCAGCTTGGTTTGCATTTACATGCCACACAGTTTAGCATTTACATCCTACAGTGTATGGGTGGCATAAACTGAGCAACCGAAGTAGCCCCTGAGCACATTGTTAATGGCTTTGTTGTGCATCAGAAATACCAGGATCTCCCTTTTCATCACTTCCATCTCTTACAGCATCTGATTTCTTCCTAAAGAAGAATAACATATTTCAACCCAAAGATGAGCTCCCCTGCTTGGCTGAAACATCTTGTTTACATACAGAGATGCACCTAGTTATCTGTAGGGGGTGAAACTGTGCCTGACATTGTCTGTGAGTTGTCATGTTTTTTGTTTGGGGGTTTGTAAACACTCTTTTGAGTCTTTCAAATACATTCGATAGCTGCAATAAAAATGATTTGTTCAAACAATGTACTCTGAAACTGCATCCACAATAAATGGAATATTTCCATCAGCAGCCCACTGTTTGTTAATGAGTAGGAATGAGCCACTTGGTGTAGCTGGGATAGTATTTGTGCTAAGGGCATTTAAAATAACATGTTATTGCAAAGAACCTCAAAAGATGTCTCGTGATGTTCTACCCTACCCCAGACAGCCATGTCATAAAATCAGCAGCTTTTACCTACATATTCTTGAGGAAAATAAACATAATCTTAATTGTCATGCCTACTAGTACAAGACAGGAGCTGTGAATCATATTTCTTCTGTCTACCTCAGAGAGATGTGCTTCTGGGCTTGGGTGATCATGGAGACCAAGGCTGGGGAGCTGCTGACTTTCCTGTTGTCCTCCTACCCTCTTCATTTTTTCTCTAAAGACAGCATAGCACTTAACACACTGCTCTAACCAGGTCACTGTCGTCTGAAAGAGGCCTCCAGAGGCTGCTGCCAGCTCCACAGGAAGCACCGGGAAGGCTGCAGCAAGCACAGCTTTCACAGCTACTGGGGAAGAAATAATCATGTATTGCCTAATTTAACCTGAAAGGAGCTTGTATGCTTGCAAGCACGTCTGTTCTCCTGCCTTGTACTGACCAACTACATTGCTACGTTTCTCTGCAATCTGTGCTGAAGTGCTGCTTTTGCTTGTTGATGTAGGTAAGTTTCTTTTGCTTCTAGTTACTGCCTTTTCTGAGAGCAAGGAAGCATGCTGACCACAATCAGGTTTACTTCTAGGAAATACTATGCAGTGGTGCAGCTGGCACCACCTCCTGGCAGAATTCACCAAAGACGAATCCCAGTGTTTGAGGCAGCAGAGCTGCAAGGTTTTTTTGTGTTTTGATATTATTATGAGGTGATGGTTTTTCAGATGACACCAGATTGTCACCTTATCTTCTGATCATGTTTTCCTGAAGCTCACTATGTTCTAGCTAGAGCATAATCCTATTTGATATGTAGGCCACTAGTAGTCTCTGCATTGTCCTTGTTCAGCAATTATAAAAGCTCTTTTCTATCTGCATTAACATTTTAAAAAACAGGCTTCAGCCATTTTTTATAACTAGCCCTATGAAACAATTTAAGCGCAACACTGATAAAGTTTTGCTCTTATTCAAACTTTATTCATATAAAATATTAAAGCATTAGGGATTCATATGATAAAAATCACAGCTATGTAAAAAAGCAAAGTAATTAAAGACAGCATTCCTTGAGAGCAACTCATGAGCCAGTAGCACTGACTGCACTGGAAAGAACATACAAAAAAAACTTTGTAAGTAACCAAAGTTTTTTGTTGAACATGTCTCTAATTAAGGAAGACAAGGAAAAAAGGAAATGAAAAGACATTGTCTTTTGACTACTAATCAAAACCAGATTTCTTTTTACCATCATAACAAAAGACCCATCCCTACTGATGCATTTTTATACCAGCTAGTGGTCTGCTGAAAAAGGAGGCCAAGGAATTGCTGCTAATGATTGTCAAGTGCAGAAGAAGTCATCAGTACTAAGCTGCATACATCCTCTACTCTGGAAGGAATTAAACAGAGGTCTCTTGGAAACCACTGGCATTAATACTCCGCTTTGAATGGATAGTCCTTGTGATTGACAGCTCTGAAAAGAGAAATAACTGGTTATTGAAGTATTGTAGAAAGTATCTTCAGCAGCATACTTTACTGCAGTCTCCCTTCCCCATTGCCAACATACTCGTTTTGCTGAAGTTATTAATTTGAAGACAGGCTTGTGAACAAGCACATACTACACCAAGATGCTGAAGAGAGTGCCCTGAATGAATGTCCTTCCTGACATCAGTTCCAGGACATGTCTCGTTACCCAGGGTCTAGGGTTTATGATACGAGCTCTCCCTGGTTTTCGTTATGAATGTTTTCAAGATACAGAGGATGAAAATACAGCTAGAGATAGACCTAGTGGATAATAAGGATAACAAGCAACATACTGGAGCACTGGAACTGCCCTCCAGTTCCTGTTGAAGCTGAGGATGACATCCATCTCCTTTTTAGACAGTTCAAAGTCAAATACCTATCAGAGAAGAAGGAAAAAAAAAAAAAAAGAAAGAAAAAAAGAGTCATCTAAGATTTCTTGCTGGTGGCTCTTACAGGAGACACCAGTCCAAAATGTAGCAGCACAAATTGAACATAACACAAAGATATTATCTAAGATGCCTTACAAGCAAACATCCAACTGAACCTCTCTGCTAAGGGAAACCACAGCCTCAAAGTGACACATAAACCATAATGGATCTGGTGTTTACAATTTGTTCCTTTACACCCTGAAGAATGGCTCACTAAATATCACTAAGCTTCCTGGTGTAACATGTTTCTCTCCTGGCAAGAACAAAATGCTTTTCCCCAAAGAACAACTGCAGATGGTTAGGTAGTGCTGAGCCCAAATCTTTACATTTCTGCACTCCCCTCCCAATGTGTCTTAGGTGTTGCTTGAAATATGAAGGAGACATGGGTGTGGGTGACTATCCTGTGTAAAAAGGTGTCAGTTGTCCCAGTGGAAACTTTACCTTGATGTTCTCCTCAACCCGCTGTGGTTTGTCAGACTTGGGAATGACAATCACATCTCTTTGAATGAGAAACCGGATCAGAACCTAGGAAAGGGTGAGGATAAACATGAACACGGGGGCCAAGAAATCCATTCAAATGCATTTTGTGTTGTGTTTTGGTTTGGTTTTTTTCATTCACAAACTAATTTCTCTTTCTACAATCATAATCACTCTTGGGAAGATTTGGTTCAGATTCAGTTCAGTTTGCATACACAAGTTTGATATGCCAGCATTTGCTTGCAATCTATGGGCAAACTGTAATTGCACCTGGCCTATGTTGTTTCTACATCCTGGCTTCTCCAGGATTTGTTTTGTTTTCATTGTGGTAGGTGGTGGGGAGAAAAATGATGCTGCTTCTGGCTTGTGTTTTATGGGTATTCAGACCAAATGGCATGATACTGCAGATTATTTTGAGCTCACAGGTAAGTACCTCACCTTTGCTAAGCTTTTCCTTAGAAGGAAAACCACAGATTTTAAGTTTCTAGCCCTCAAAAGAGAACTGTTGCATGTAATTTTTGGTCCTGCTGTGTCTGTCTTAGAGTATGACTCTGGTTGATTGCCTGTGACCGTGTGGATTTGTTTGAAGTGCACTTTCTGCACACTGTGCAAGAACTCATTTGTGTGACTAGCAACTAATACAGAAAAATGTTCATCTTGAATAATTCTTTGTAAACAGGGACCAAACTGAGCAATGACACAGATCTGCAAACTACAGGGCTTCTATGAAGAATAGCTTGGCTAACTTAGCTGGAGAAAGGAATAACAAGTTGGATCAATTTGTAAGTAAATCTCAGAGGAAAGAGGTCCTCGGGGAGCAAGCAGTTTTCTCTGGAAGCAGAAGAAATCTCCCTAGGAAGGACACCTGAGATAAGCACATACTACTGCTGATCAGCCGCCACAAAACTCAGTGCTCAAGATCTCTTACAAAAGACCTGATAATTTGTATAAATACTGGTAAGGACAGTCAAGTGTAGTTCAACCCCATGATACTGTCTCTTTAGAGAGTGCAGCATCTACTAAGACTGGCCACCAGCTTGTAAAAATGTCTCAGGAGAAGGAATAGTTTGCCCTGACAACCCCACTTACCTGAGCAGGGCTTTTATGATGTCTAGCTGCGATCTCTTTTATCTTGGGATCGTCCATCAGCGTAGGGTCCCCTGGCTTGGCCCTATTGAAAACAAAAGCCAAGATACTGATGGTAGAAAGGGATTACCTTCCATGCAGGAAGCCTGACATTTTCTATGAAATAATCTGCAACAAAGCAACAGCACTTTTCTAATTATACATGCATTATTAACATAATTTGCCTCAAAGATCCAGGTTGCAAATTCATTGTTTTGTACAGAGAAAGGCTGCAAAGCAATCTTACCATGGGCGGTTAGGAGAGCCAAGGGGGCTATATGCAGTCACAGCAATCCCTTTGGATTTACAGTACTTGATCAACTTTTCCTGGGTGAGGTATGGATGACATTCAACCTGCAAGCACAGAAACATAGTGGGTGACACAGAGACTGACTGCACTGAGCTCCAGAATGTAACTAACAACTTCTCTTGGGTCACAGCAAATGTGAAAAAAAGACTCCCAATATAATTACTATGATCTGGATAATGACTATGATCTGTCTTAAAAAAAAATATATATATATATTAATGTCACAGCAATATCTAGAGGCCTGGCACAGAGAAGAAGGTTTACTCATGCTTCATATTACATAAAGATAGTGAGAAATAGATAAGAGTGAAAGTGCTATCTGTATTGAGAATCTGAGATATGAGCCTTCCTGGATTCTGAAGAGAAGAACTGAATCTTCAGAGGGGCAGCTCAAAATCCTTGACATTTATTTTCTGCTCTTAGTTACCCAACCTTTTCTCAGGGAGTGTCCCTGATCTTGAAGAAGCCTTGGGAGATGAGCTTCCTTAGGTCAGCTCAGCTCGTGTTGCAACCAGCCATTCAGACAAGGTGTTCTTTACCTGGAAACAAGGAGCCTCCATGGGGATGCAGCTCAACTTTCCACAAGCCATGGTGTGACCACATCTGCATCTGCACTGCGTAACGTGGCACCATGCACATATTCAGCCATTTCTAAACACTTAGCTTTGCGACATGAAATTCATGTACAGTAGTTTATTTAGACCTGATCTAGACTAGGCAACTACTGTAACTACAGCATGTGGCACAGACACACCTATGGAGAAGCAAACTAGAGTCAAAGTCTAAAGTTATTTAAAGTGTTCAAGTTGGTGTGGCTTTTAACATGGGGATAGTTGTGTTCATCTAAACTGGAACTTTGTAACCTTCAATAAAATCACTCCAAGTCCAGTGTCCCCTTGGGCTAAGCCTGGCCAGTGCACACTCTAGCCCTAAGCCTGGCAGAGCAGCACAGGCAACACCATGCCTGCAAGGGACCCACTTTGAGGATTTCCCTGGGTGTTTCCAAGCCAGCAGAGATGGGAATTGACAACCCTCAGCTGAGTGAAAAAAAGTTGCATACGGAAGGAAGTCAGAAGGTCCTGATGCCCCTGCTGGCCTGTGATTTCATTCATGAGGCACAAGGTAAGAATTTTTTAGGTAATTGTATACTTCAAACCTCCTTTTTATAATGAAGTTTAGTGAAATGGTTTATTTAATGTTGAAAGATAAATAAGTCCAGTGAGTGAGTTAGAACATTCCTGTGCATTCCTATGCCTGTACAGTAGCTCTCAGTGGGAATTCTGGCAGTTATCCCAGGACTGGTAGAAATGGATCTGTGGCAACTTGGGCTGTGACACTGGGAGTGTTAAAGAGGGCATGTAGAAAAAGTCACAAGGTCCTATGCAAGACAGTGGATATTTTCACCTTTTTTTCACTGTCTAAAAATGAAATAATCTGTTTCATATTACTGTGATATGAATAATCCATATTGTTCTGTATGGTATTGCTGTCAAATCTCCACTGTGTTATATACATACAAGTTTACAAAGAAGTTTTCTGTTGAGATCCCTGTAGGCTAAAACCCATCCATACTGACACCATAACAAAGCCTTGCATATTGCAGGCAATGCTGACTTGAAGGGACCTTCAGACAACCAGAAATATTCTAAGGTTAGTCAACATCAATGGAAATAAGAATCTTACCTGGTTCATTACTGGCTTGTATTTTAGTCCTGGCTTGTTCAAGATTCTTTCAATCTGCTCATGGTTAAAGTTAGATACACCAATAGCTTTTACCAGACCACAGTCCACCAGCTCTTCCATGGCCTAATTAGAGAGGACAACCAACATGTATTTATGAGGTGGTATTACTGTCAGCTACACTATTCAAATTTGCCTAAAGCTAGTGACAAACGAACAAACAACCCACCCTAGATTAAATAATAGTATCTTAAATTTTAGAAAAAACCCTAACCTTTGCACCTGGATGCTTTATGTACAATAACCCTTCTGTAATAGGAAGCAAAATAATTTGCCTTGGCTTCTTTGTGGGTCATTATATTAGAGTGAAAAAAGCAATGCAGACTCACCCCCTTCCTCCCCCTATGCCAGTACACTACCTAGGAGTCGGCAGAACACAACATGTAGGATGTTAGCTTAGATTCAGTTACCTCAAAATACTTTCTTGCAACCGTAATCTGTTTTTATAGAGAAATCTGTTGATTCCCAGAGTTCCAACATCACAGAGTTGCAGATAGCAGAGGAGCAGACCCTGAATCCTCTCAGTCCACAAGAAAAGGAGGATTGAAGGACAGCCTGAGATGCTGATGCCCAACACTAAAAAGCATGAGAATTCCCTATCTGCATGAAACACCCAGAAAACTAACAGCCACACCCAGATTAATTTACATTCCAGTTCTACCATTGTGCGTATTCAAATATTGCTTTAGTGACAGCACCTATAGTGCTAATAGTTTTCCCTCTCTTTAGTCTTATGAAAGACATCCTCCTCTTGTTCCTCAAAACAAGGGGTAGCATCAGCTGTTCTCATCTTCATCATAAACTGCAGTTTTGTGTGACTATCCTCCAAACCCAAACTTATTCCTTAATTTCATGGTATGTACAGATCTCTGCTGCATCTTTAGTGCTGACATCTGCTTTAAAAAGCAAACATTAACTTACCTCCCATGTGTCCAGAAAATTTGTGTCACTGGGGATACTCATACCCTTGTCATCCAGAGGATGCAGCTCTTCACCAGCCTGTTTTTTCAAGGCAGATAATATATAGATTTTTTTAAAGAGTTTAATTTCTAAGTGTTTTCTAGCACTTCAGACTCAAATTATAGGCAGCTAGTTAGCAGGTTATTTAAACATAACTAAACATTATGCATGTTCATCACTACCCTCTTTTGGATGAAGGCCATATTTCTACAAATCAATTCCAGCATACAGGGAGTGGTGATTAGTAGCAATTATGTGAGTAACTCAGGGAGATGGAGCATGAAGAGAACAGACACCACCCTACATTTTTTTTTCCTAGAGTTTTATTTTATTTTACACAAGCGTAGACTGGGAAAAAAAAAGAAGCATGTTCATTCTGTACTGTGCTTCATTTTTCATTGCTGGTTACTCCAGATCAAGCCAACATCTCCAAAACCTGAGATGTTTACACTGTTCCAGCCCAGCAGAAGGCCACAATCCCAAACAGTGCCATCATCTCTTGGTCCTAGTTTCCCTGAAGAACTAGGGAGTTCGTTAGCAGTGGTCATACCTATGACAGTCTTGCTTCAACAAGAAAGCCAAACCCATGTGCTAAAACATGCCACTACCTAGTTAGTGACTGAATGCTTGCTACCACTGGGTTCTGGGAAGTGTCAAATGAACCAGAGCACATCCCAGCTGCCTAGTGAAGATAGTCACAGCACCGATGAGAGAATACACCATCTTTTTAGCTAGGTAAGAAGAGTAATGTGGAGCAGGATTACCTTGAATCCCATAGGGAAGTGCATCAGGTAGAGGTCAAGGTAGTCCAGTTGCAGTGCATCGAGGCTCTTCTTGCACGCTACCTTAACCAGGGACTTCTCATGAAATGTGCTCCACAACTGCGGGAAGAAACCAAGCCCAATTGTTACTCTACAGCTTCCACAGTCCAGACTAGGGGACTGAAGCTTCTCCCTTGGTTGTCTGGGAGGAAAAGTCCCTCCCCTCTACCCAGTGCACACTGAATAGATACCAAGCCAATGGATGCCAGTATTTTAATAGCAAGGTAGGACAAACATGCCACAAGTAAGGGAGTCAGTAGAGAAGATGGACAATCAGTACTCCTACTCATTAATAGAGATTCTCAGAACTAAACATATGACTCTGCCAGGTGTATCTAACAGAGCAAAGCTGCTAGTGTTAGAATTTTTTTTTCAGTGTAAATTTTTAGTCTTGAGCAGCTCATAGCTACTCTTCTATCCCTTTTTAATGGCCACAGGGGGAACTTTTATCAGCTTTACTTCGCTTTTGAAATGAAAATTCAAATAATTTAAATAGAAGAACCTGCAAGTACTATTCAAGTAAAAAACCTGTCCTTTAAAAAAAAACGAGGATTATGGGGTAAAAGTTAGTTATGCTGCATGTTTTATGGTTTTGTTGGTGAAAACCTGAACTCAGAAGTTTTTTAGTTAAAGTGTTCACTTTCTGGTAAAGAGTATTGCTGAGACAAGTAGATTTGATGAATACACAGAAAATACTTCAGACTGAAGTCTCATACTTTGATTTCTATTCCCTTTCAGCCTTACATTTTGTACATGGCAGCATTTTCGAATGTCTTGCAAACTAGTAAGTAGCACAGCCCCTCTGTATTCAGACATATCTTTTTTTTTTCCTGATCTTTTTAGGATGGGAGCAAATGAGCCTTCAGCATAATTAAGTGACTTAACAGATGTAAGGAAATTATTAGATCAGCAACAACCATGCTATCTTTTCAAAGCTGTCAATGGTTCCTTAAGTAAAGCTCAGCCCAAACTGCAAATAAAGGATGGAACTCATAGCACGCAAGACACCTAAGAAATTAATACTGTTAGAAAGGGAATAAGCCCGTAGGTTCCTTTACAGATGGAGCAAGGATTTCACTTTGAGAAAAGCCCCCTCCCTGGAGGTCTTCAAGGCCAGGCTGGATGGAGCCTTGAGCAACCTGATCTACCGGGAGTTGTCCCTGTCCACGCAAGGGGGTTTGGAACTAGATCATCTTTAAGGTCCCTTCCAGCTCTAGCCTTTCTATGATTCTAAACGCCCCAACCATCCTGCATCCTTGTACCTTTGTGACAATGAAGAGGTCTTCCCGTTTCACGGCCCCCTCCTTGATCTTCTGCTTGACTGCATTCCCGATCTCATTCTCATTCTGGTAGAAATAGGCACAGTCGAAGTGACGGTAGCCGGCATCAACCGCGTACTTCACCACTTCCTCTACCTTTCCTGGAGGAGCCTGGAAGCAAACACAACCAAACCATGAGCTCTTCCAAGCCTTCCACCAGCGCTCCCTGCTGCTGCGGTAGCTCCACAAAGTCTCCCTTTTCCACTGCTGCTGGAGTTTCCTGTCACCTGCGTTTAACCAGTTCCGACCTCCTGAACCAACAGCATTTTTGTGGGGAAAGGGAACAGAATAGAAAGGAGAGACATTAAGAACCTGCCGTTTCCAGCAGCACAGTGCCCGGCATCACTTCCCTTACTTGCTCCCAGTGTTACCCAGGCGGTCCGGCCGTTTCACCCCCCACGGCGGCAGCTGTGGCGGTGCCGGGACGGGCCGCCTTCGCAACCGATTCGTTGTCTCATTTCTTCATTTCCCTTGTTGCTTCCCCTCCCCTTTACTTTGCCTCCCTCCACCTTCTTCACCCCCTACGTTATTCTTTGTATTTCCCCCGTTATCCCCCTCCGGCTGCT